CGGCTCGTGCAGACTCGATAGAGTCTACACTGTTGACGTTCAATTTCAGATCGTCGACCTGGCCATCGTCTGGGAATAACGACGCAAGTTGGAAGTCAAAATCTGGAAAGCACGCATATTGTGGTGGATCAATGACACATTGCCTGAGGAAGTTCGGAGGCCTGAAAACTAGATATTTAGAAAGAGGAATGGTCTCCGGCTCCACCTTGAGAGCTTCTAGGAAAGGGCGGATGGCTTCAAACATTACTGGCGATTCCACAAGCATCTTCACACCACTGGATGTGGATCGCCGATTTTCCAAACTTTGTAATATTTTGAGTTCCACCGAGGAGTCGAAGAAGACGATACGCAGCTTCACATGATCCTGGTCAGTGCGAACATGATCAGTAAGCTCTTTGTTCGAGCTCGCCACGACACCAAGGTGAACAGAGACAGTCTTGGTCGGGGCATCTTCCCATACGAGAGCGATGAGTCCACCTTGCGGGAGTCTTTTCCCGCTCATTCCCTGCCAAAATGTTACTCGCACATTCTGATTTCGAGAGCTTGCACGACCCGGCGGGGTATGTACAGTGAGGCTCACAGACAAACCCCGGTGGTCCGGAACGACAGACAGGAAATTGGCACCGGCATATACGTTGAACATGATCGAGTTATGGCTGTCAATGTGGCCGACATATTTTCCGCCGTTCTTCTGAAGAACTGTGTGGAGCTGAGTTTTGGGACGGTTTGGAAACTTTAAATCGGCGCAGACGAGTTGTACGGCCCTTCGTAACGGAGCACTAGGAGCACCTGGTCAATAGCCAGTGAGGTACCATTGCTTTGAGACTTACGTAAGCTCCTCCCGCAACAGACGGAACTGGATATCCAAGAGACGTTCCATAGATTCCGCCAATGCGGGATGCGGGGCTCCATACAGAGTGGCTGGGAGAAATGGCTCAATTGGACACATGAGCTCCTCGTGCGTAGGAGCTATACGTATGTTATATACGTCCATGTGGTCGTTATCGTGTCGAGGGCCCTCCTGGCGTAACTCTCCAGGGGGGTCATAGCTACCTCGCAATGCAGCAACCAGACCTTCATTTGCATGGACAGTGGGTTGAACGGTTGGTTTGATCTTGCATGAGTTCGTTTGCTTTTCTAATTCTCGATCTACGATCGCCTTCAAAGTCCCCACCTTCTCCCTGAGTAAGCTTATCAACAAATCTACAACACGCGGTTCCCTGTCTTGGAAAGGGTCATCAAAAGCAGGCGGTGATGCGCGAACTCCTTCGTTCCACTGCTCGAACCATGTGTGGAGGCTCATAACGAGGGGCGCCAATCGAGGATAGGTGAGAGCGGCATTCTTGAAACGGACAAGGCATCTAATCGTGGCACGTGAGCTACGGCTCATTGGACACATGAAGCGATTTACTCGTAGAGTACGCCAGCTAGCGATTGCAAGGCTCTTAACCCGATGTCTTTGGTAATTGCCTCACTTGCAGAGGAATCCATAAACGAACGGGAGGTCATTATACTTGAGAGACCGCCTTCGATTGCGTCTGCAAAATTTGGCAGGTTTTGGAGCATCGCAGTGAACAATGCACTGGAGCACCTGTTTGAGTGCCGGATCTGAACGTTTAAGGCAAACATACTTGGCTCTGGATACCATGGTGCTCTTAACAACAAAATCGGAAGAAAGATACTGTACCGAAGCACGATGAAATGTATTTGAACAAAAATGAGGGAAGAGCTTACCTCGAGAAGAGGTACTATGCCCCTTTGGAATGACAACACGTCACGACTCGAACCAGCACGAGGGGACACTTGAGGCCAACGAACAATATCGACAATTCGGAGGAGACCATTTTGCTGTAACACTATCAACAAAGAGCCCGGATATGGGGATCGGTACGGACCGAAGAGATACTATTCAAGAGAAGCTGTAGACGAAATAAAAGAAACTTGAGTATGCGAGCGATAAGAGACAGAGTAGAAATGTTACCTGACCGTCCTCTGGAGTCTGTCGTAGCGTGATGAAGATGATAAGTGACCGTGGGTGCTATCTACTTACCCATTTGTTGTTGGATGGGTTTGCGCTCTTGAGGGGCGTCAAAAAATTGTATACATGGAAGGTTGTTTGAAATCTGTAGTTATCGAGGAGAAACCTCTGAAGCAAGTTGTGGGCTTCAACTGGAGACAAGGAACTAGACATGTCTTGAGAAACAAACCCCTCGGCGCGGCCTCCATTCATCCGGGATAAACCTTGTTCTGTCAAGAAAGGCGCCAGGCGATCTCTTAGGGGGGAGGAATTTGCAGTGTCAGGAGAATGGGTGGACGCTTGCGGTGCCTGTACATGACTGTAGCGGCATTCGAATTCTCTGTTACATCTGCCTGATTCCCAGTAAAAGCGGCAGTAACCCCTTGGAGAGGGAGGTAAATGCGTGGGGGAATGAGGAGTGGATGGTGCACTCCCCGGAGTAGGACTGCCTCCGTTCCTGGGGATGTGAGGAAAGTGACAGTCGTCTCCACGACGACAGCCGCCTGGAGAGCCAAAGAAACGACAAGGTCGGCGTTGTGTCATGCTGGTACAAAGAACCCATCGATCTCTGGGTTAGTTCTTTTATATAAGTCAAGAGCGATAAGGTCTGGCGATGGAGTCACGTGAGGGGTCATTTCCCTTCTTCCCGTCGTTCCAGATGCTCCGTGCGCCTGTCCTAGCCAGGTCATTTGCGAGGGGCTACGCAACTTCGGCGTCACCCCATGCCCTCGTCTTCTTAGAGCACTACAAGGGAAAACTCGATTCCAGTTCCCTCTCAGCCCTCACTGCTGCCTCTCAGTTGGGTGGCAGGGTCTCAGGTCTGATCGTCGGCGCACCTGAGGAGCTGCCAGCCGTTTTGGAGCAAGCTAAGAAGTACCCCACACCTGCTATAGTCCCCTTTGTCGCCATTCTCACACCCTCTTTTTCAGGGTCACAGGTCTGGATACCGTTCTACACTCTGCATCTCCGCAGTATACCACGCCTTTGCCCGAAACTGTTACACCCTTGTTTGTGAAACTGTTGTCAACACAGTCACCTTTCACACACGTTGTTTCTGCCCACTCTTCCTCTGCCAAATCAGTCCTACCTCGCGTGGCTGCTAAGCTAGATCTACCGGCCGTCTCCGATATCACATCTGTACAGCATGACTCTTCGTCCAATAGCACCACGTTCACCCGTCCAATCTACGCTGGGAATGCAATCTCGACCGTCCGTGCATCGGATTCCATCCCCATCAAGTTCTTCACGGTCCGATCCACTGCATTCTCTGCGGCGGCTGCGGGTGATGCCGAAGCTAAAACAGAAAATGTCGACCCCGTCCATGTCCCTAACCCACCAACAGAACACGTCAGCACTTCCCTAACTAAGTCAGATAGACCTGATTTAGGTGTGGCTTCTCGCGTCGTTTCTGGGGGACGTGCTCTCAAGAACGCCGAAACCTTCAAAACGACATTGTTCCCACTCGCTGATGCTTTGGGCGCAGCCGTTGGGGCTTCGCGGGCAGCTGTGGATGCCGGTTACGCCGATAACTCCCTTCAAGTCGGACAGACTGGTAAAGTAGTCGCTCCGGAATTGTATATGGCCATAGGTATATCCGGGGCCATTCAGCACCTCGCTGGTATGAAGGACTCTAAACTCATCGTGGCGATCAACAAGGCTACCTCGTTTTTTTCAACTTATGTGGTGTGGTATCCTCATCTGGTGTACAGGATCCAGATGCCCCCATCTTTCAGGTGGCTGATGTCGGTCTCGTCGCAGACCTTTATGAGGCCGTACCGGAATTGGTAGAGAAGCTGAAATAGTGCAATCTTCTGGCACAGAAGACCTCGCCAGCTTGCAGTTACCTTCTAGCTACCTACATCCTTGACAGGTGTCGTAGGTAGGATGGGCCGGAAAGATACCTTTATAAGGTAAACAGTATTGGATGGGAGCACAATGAGGACAGGGAATTGCACCCATAATCATATCATCCAACTACTAACCAATACCCGTCCAAACATCCTCTAGTCAACAACACCCGACTCGGTGATTTGTACCCTGGCTCTGGGTTGCCCACTTCTCGTGCCCTCTGCTTCGACTGCTTTCACGACATCCATGCCCTCCACTACCTCTCCGAAGACGACGTGCTTATCATCTAACCAAGACGTGACAGCGGTCGTAATAAAGAACTGTCATGTGTTTTTCAGAACGCAATGCCCGAGGAATGTCGCTGCGGAGATCAGCCTTTACCTGCGATCCATTGGTATTTGGCCCAGCGTTAGCCATGGACAAGAGGCCCGGCTTGTCATGTTTGTGGATGAAATTTTCATCTAAATGTATGTACCCCATGAAGAAAAGCGGGCCATGGAACACTAGGTCAGTCACTCAAAAAAAAAAAGAGGACAATAAACAGCAAGTATGATATGACGATACGCACCCGGGAACCTCTCACCGTATATTGATAATCCGCCCGTACCATTGTGTCGCGTGAAGTCACCGCCCTGGATCATGAACTGAGATAGAGATTCGTCACATATTTGAGTCTACCAGTCGAATCCAGGACGATGGACCGACCTCGGGAATGATCCTATGGAACGTGCTTCCCTTGTAACCCATTGGCGGCTTGCCATCTTGCTTAAAGCCAGTGGCCAACTCCCGGAAATTACGTGTGGTTTTTGGCACGGTGTCGTCATAAAGCTTGAACACGATACGTCCGAGAGGTTTAGGTCCGACTGAAATATCAAACTAGTGCGAGTGGTTGGCGACGTGTACATCCCATTATATCAGAAGACATACGAAGACATTGCTACTGATTCGCGTCGTCAACCACAGGCAAGAGGTCATGAAGCATACAACTTACCTGGACTTGGACGCAGCAGACATAAAACGGCGAAACACCATCGACATTGTTGACAGTGAAACAAGATGAATGAAATTTTTGAAGACGCGTGTGTGCGTCGGTTGTCTGCAACACGGAACGAAGACCACGAAAAAAAAAAAAAAGCTCTCTGGCGGGGAGTCGAACCCCGCTCTCCCGCGCGCCGCTTAGGTAATGACAGGCGGGTGTACTATCCGATATACTACCAGAGACATTAGCTCCTTTTTACCGTCGTATACTAGTGGAGCATTCCACTCTACAGTCCTTTCGGCGCGTACGACGACCTTCATACACGCCAGCATCTTACCGGATGGATTTCTATCGGCCTATCACAGATTACAAGCTCACAGGCAAGGTCCTCATCGTCGTAGGCATTCGAGTCGTCTTGTGATACTGCTGACCCCAACAGTCTAGACCAGCCCATCGTTTCTGTCGCCAATGTTGCACAACTAACGGTCGACCTGATCACCGCAACCTTCGGGCTACAACGCGTTGGCGTGTTCGACCCTAAGTATCATGTACCTGTCACAGGTGCGCGGGAGGATGGCACTCCGGGTATAACGATGCCTCTCGAGCGTACGTCTATATGCATACTCTTGTGCCTGATCTCATTTCATCATCCCAGTGTTTGGCAGCAACAGTAGTAGCATCGCAGTGATTCAGCAACGATCGCCTGTACTTGCAGTGCGTGAATGACCGTATCATATCACCCCCGGTTTCTATTCACCCACAAGACAGCTTTTCAAGCAAGATTTCACCGATACTCTACTGACTTTCGTCCGTACGTCATGTGTATCAGCGGTGATCTTCCTGGCAGGCGTAGACATGTCCAATAGAACGGATACTCAGATGCTGTAAGTGTCCGATCCTTTCCGCGCACCGAAATGTGGATCACCAGTAAAAACAGAACTCCGACCACATATATACGACCCACATCATTGCCAGATGTGACGTCGACGCCCCTGTCACCCTTGGCAGATTTACCTATACCTCCCTACTTCTCCCTAAGCGATGATTCGCGTAGCATCCCTTTCATCCCGGGTGGCGGCCTCACCCGCCGAATACTCTCGTCCATCCCTAACTCCTGGCAGATACCAACTGTTTGTTTTCTACACTATGTCATGGAGGGAGACAACAGATACGATGCACAGATCTTAGCGAGCGTCACTGCGAAGGTGCTCAATTGCAACGTTAGTGGGCTGGAAACAACCCGTCACATGGGGTCATGGCCTGTTTGGTACCCCCCACGATAGTACATTGTATGGCTAAGCGATGGCACATAACTTTGAAGAGCTAGAAATGTTTTTGCTACATGTATGTTATCGTTTCCCTGCGATTCCAACGCGGTCTCGACCCTTCTTTTTTGCGGCTTGCCGCAGTGGGAGGTAAGCGTAAGGCTCCAACCCTCCTTTCTTCACGTCACCACCAGCTTTCTGGTCGGCAATAAGCGAAGATTTTGAGATGAGTTAAATAGTCACGCACCTTCGCCTTAAATTCATGCCCAAGTTTGACCTCTGACCGTCGCTTGTTTTTCTTAGAGCTTTCTACGGTGTCGTCAACCATCTCCACATCACCATCCTCGTCCGCATTTCCGCGTCGCCGTTTCTTCGTATCTTTGTTGAACTTGACACGCCCTTTGGCATCTCGAGTAAACCCATCAACAGAGGTGATACTCTCTCTATAGGCGCCTCCTGCCGCCTTACGGGTACTAACTTCAATATCTGAATCTGACTCCTCAGCTGGTATGACAATTTTTCCAGAATCAGAGTCAACGTTGAAACGGTTGGCATCCATTCCAGGCTTCCGTCTCCGATTTCCCTGTGCATCTGACCAACAAGTCCATAACACGAACCATGTAATCAAAGACCAAACACTTACTTGCCACCCGGGACGCGACACCTTTCAGTAGATCCATCGGCTCGTCGTTATCAGCGCGCAATCGAACGCCATGCTGGCTCTTTGTCTTCGGCACAGTATGGCGGTCCACTTGCGATTCGTCGTCTGTGTCTTCGTACTCGCTCTCACTGCCGTACAGTACATCCTCGAAAGCATCTCCTGTTGCCACCTTCCCTGAAGGTGCCTACTCAAGAGTCAGCCGACGCGGGATTAAAGAATAGCTGACAGCAACTGACTTCTTCATTATCATCACCATCTTGTGCGCGAGCCTTCTTGCGCTTCGCCCTCTCCTTCCTTTTCTTGATGTTGACAAGTACCTTGGCAGCTTCCTCCTGACCTGCGGCCGAGTAGACATCTTCCCAACCGAACCTCCTGATCATACGCTCGAAAATGTGACGAACTTTCGCTTTAAAGTGATTTTTGTGGTCATGTGACCATGTGAGGAACGCTGGCACCAGTTCAGTCAGATGGGGCCTTAGAAGATCGACGGAGAGCGTATGGATGGCAAGTTTAATGTATCCGAGGGTGGACTTGACAATCTCGCGATTGACTGACGACAAAAAGACCAATAGAGTGGTAAAGATGTTAGCCTGGACATCCGAGTCAATGATATCTGCCAATAACTTGTGGTAGCATGTTCAACACACGCGATCGTAGTAACGTTACCTTTGAACTCGTAGACAAGGCGAGAAATTGCTGTCACGCTGGCGCTAATCATGTGTGGACTTGCCCCTGCCAGACCAGCAGCAACCATGGTAATGTATTCATTAATGGATGCTTGAGCTGCGGAGAGCGTTAAAAAAACAACCCTGATCTGCAGGTGTAGACTGCCCACCTTCAGTGGCCCCTGCGTCCATTCCATCAAGCATCTGCCTCTTCACTACACCCCCTTCAGACATCTTCCTGCCCATCGCAACCACCAGGTCAAACGCGGCCGAACGTGCCTGTTCTGAGGGCTCTTTCGTGCCCAGTACGGCCTCTGGAACAAGCGAGGTGATAACGTGCATAGAGGACGGTGGAATCCCAGGTACGAGAAGCGATAACAGCACAAATCGGTCTCTTTTTGCTGCAGGAGACAGCCCAGTCATGAACGAGTCCAGTTCCCGCAGAGTGCCTAGCACATCAACTTGTAGCTTTCCGCTTGCAACCGACTTTCCCAAGAGTTTGTAGCCGCGCTTCTGCACACCATTGTCCCTGCAGGCAAGCACCTCTTCCGTCAGGCAAACACGGAAAAGCGAAGTAGCATCGGATGTATTAAGGAAGGGTAGAAGAAGTATGAGGAGGTCTTGCATCATGGTTGTCGTAACTGCGTGCTGCTGGACATCAGCAGCGCTGACAAACCTTTGTAGGCTCTGTGTAAAAAGCTCGGCCACTTTACGATATGCTTTCGAGATCTCTTGGGGTTCTGCAATATTTGCCCAGACGCTAATGACATCTCCTACGACTCCACGAGTGTCGCTAGCCACACTGCTGAATACGTTGAACAATACCGCAAACCAGCTTTCAACTTGAGATTTCAAAAATGCAACGTTCTCGGCGGCCTCTTCACGGGTGATAGGTGTTGAGTACTTGGAAGATTCTTTCGTGTCAGAGTGATCTTCCGACACAACGGCAAGGTTGGATTCCACCAACACCTTAAGCCCTTTGAGGACCGGTAATCGAAGCTCTGGTTGGTTGTATAAAATCTGAGACAAAATTTGCGAGAACCCTGGTGTAAGTGCCTGAATAACATACAGGTTAGAACTTCACGTCATGAAAGCGCAGTGAAAGACAATTACACTCTTTACATTAGGGGACGCGTGGCAGTATCCGGCGAAACCGGCCCACACCTGTGAGACAATGACACTCCATACTTTGGCCTCAGCCTGCCTTCCCCCAGCCTCAGCTTCTTTCTGAAGGTTGAACAACCGTTCACTCAGAGGGACAAAATAGGACAAAAAGTGGCTCAAAGGCGATGGATGGGGTTGGGAGATCATTGGAAGAAGGAAGGCGCGCGGTTCGCGACCAGCTTGACTGTGGTGACGATCAGGCTCGTTTCATTCATGAAGCCAGCGGGCATCCTTACCGATCCTGTGGCTCAAGGTTCAATGGAAGAACATTCAGAACCACAGCAGGGCCGACTACTCTCATCGCAGTAGAAATAACAGCATCTGCAGCTTCCTTGTGCTCGAAATTTTTTTGTATCCTCAAGTCAGCGACCTTTTCTACAAGGGGCAGGAGAAGGATCTGGGCGGCAGTAGCTGATTTCCGAGGCTCAATCTTCAAGGCTAAACTTGTTATGAGAGATGAAATGACGCTGAGCAATCCGGAACAGCCTGCGCGTAGGCAAAGGAATCTAGCGCTTGTGATACCTGTGCAACAACGATGCGAAGGTCTGATCTCCCATCGTCAGGTTCGTTGACAGCAGCCTGTGCCATCGGAAGAGTGATGCATTGCGCAAGTGATTCGAGCGACTCTGCAGCGGCTTTCCGTACCTGCGTTTGCGTGGATTCGACAAATGCCCAGATAGCTCTCCACGACTTGAGGAAAGCAGCAGCACATCCTTCCGCGTCTGCGGAGCGATACGTGAGCATTGTCTGACCGACCACACGAACCCACGATGGTGCCACGGTTGCATCTGACTTCGGAGGGCGAGATGCAAGGACTGCGGCGAGTACGGTCGGTATTTGTCCGGTGCCGCTTTGTGCGCCAAAATTGAGGGAAGCAGAGAGAAGATCTGAAAGAATAGTATATGAAGACTGTGATAGGTACGGGTTGCCCAGTCGAGGAAGGGTGAGGAGCACGGATATGATGGAGGGAATAATCTAAGCGCAGAGGTCAGAGTAAATTTAAGTGATAAAATCAATGCTCACTTCCAGTGGGAGGTTGGGTAGCACGGGACGTAAAAGGGCGAGTAGATGTATGGCTACATCTGCAGAGTCGGAACTTCTGCCGTCAATTTTTGATTTCGAGAGGACGCCAGTGCTGGCTTGTTGAAGTGACGTATGCAACCATTCGGCGACGCGCTGGGCATACGGATGACGCGAGAGTGGGCTGGGTGGATTTGATAGTACATCACTGATGAGATCTACGGCCCTCTTTCGTACCTTCGGTCGAGGGTCGACGCATAGCTGTAGCACAGTTGCGAATGATTGTCGAACGTTGGGGACATCCAGCTGGGAGCGATCAAGGGAGCAGAAAATTGCATTGTATAATGACATCTGTGATCTCATGGATGGTGCGTGGGCATTAAGAGAGGGAAATAGTGGAGCAGTCAGTGACAAGAGCGTGTTAAGATGCGTCTGCATAACCGCATGAGGAACAAAAGGCGAGACAA